AGTTCCCCACTTCAAGTTAACAAAATAATTTTCATGTGTTTTGTTAAAAATATTGTTTTACCTTTTTTTTAAGGACAGATTTTTAAAGCTTACCTTGAACTGAAAGTGAGTGTAATGTAGTGATGAAAATGTTGGACTGGAATTGAAGAAACCCAAGTACAAATCATTTGTCAACACAAAGCCACCAGATGTCTTTGGACTGCTCATTATCTCTCAGCCAATTTCCTTAATTGGACAGTTGTAGATTAAAAAATTAGCAAGACACCTTTGTATACTCCATTGAGCTCCCAGAGAAAAAGTAGAAATATACTTTTGGGCCACTTGCAAAATTTTCTCTTACTTATAATTTTACTTTAAAATTACTTTAAAATTAAACTGAGATTTCCACTTATTAATATATTTTAGCTTTTGAATATTCAAATAAGAGGTTAACATTATGATCTTATGATACATATTTAAATATAAGTCCCAGAGATTTCATAACTTTCTCCCAGATGAATACATTTAGGATTGCAGGATAAAGAATTAACTGCCAAGACATTACTCTAGGCCAGGGGTCGGCACACCCACGGCTCCATGCGGCTGTTTCATCCCTCCACTGCGGCTCCCAGTCCTCCGCCCAGTCCTTCGCCACCTAAAAAAAAAAAAAGTTCAATCAATTAATTCCAACTTCTCACAAAAAAAAAAGATCTCCCAAAGTTGGAATTGATTGATTGAACTTTTTTTTAGTCCCACAAACAAAAGAAGTTTGTGTGCAGACCAACAAACAAAACAAAAGTCCACAAACTTCTTTTGTTCATAAGACTGCACACTGCGGCAGAAAAAGTGACTGAGGACTGCGTCGGAGCTGGAAAGGTGCCGCATGGGTCCAATCGGAGGCACTGGGTGCTGGTGGTTCTGCCAAGCATCTTGTACAGAGCCAGGGAAACAAGCCAGGTGAGGAGAGCTGCCAATGCCGCTGCTATGAGGCTTGGCAGATTCCCCCCCCCAGTGGCCATGATCCCCCAGCCAGCCAGCCATTGCCCGACCTACCCTTCACCTGGCCGGCTGGCTGACACAAAGCTCACCACTATCCTCCTCCTCGTTCTCCTCCCCACTTTGCTCCATCCAAGTTGAAGAAAGCAGAGGCGCAGCAGGAGGATTGCTGAGGGATAAATTATCACTTTGTGTAATGTATTATAATAATCATGCAGCTATCACCTCCATTTCTCATATTCTTGTTATTCCATATTAAAATTTTGTGCATAATCGACATTCAGATGATCTGAGGCAGTTTTATCCAAATTAGAGTATATGTTGCAGAAACACCATATTTTCTCAGCCCTCAAGGAACAGTGTTGTATGTTTTAGAAAATTAGTATTTTCCCACTTACTATCACCTCAGGGAGCATTATTTGGCATATGAATGAGTCAAGGATACAGTTAAGGTAGTAGGAAAGTCTGTTGTGTCAAATATAAAACTATATTGTGACTTTACTTCAATTCTTCAGATTGATGCTTTGGAAAGCCTTCATATCAAAGAAACACTTACCTCAGATTTGTTGGCAAAATCTCATGGCTATTGAGAATCACTTTGTGTAATGTAATAGAGCACAGACTAAAATTTCTGCTCAATATCCCAGGGCTAATTGGTCAGTCTTAAGAAAGGTATCCACATCTAAGATCCTTGGATTACCAAATGAGAATATGTCTCAGTCTCAAGAAGGCTCTTTCAGTATCTCATTGGCCCTGTCCCTCTTTAAAAAAAAGTCCAGACCCACATACTATTGGATGGTCAAGTGTAGCTAATACATTTAACTGTTCACAATGTCACTGCCATAGCACTATATTGTCAGTGGTGGCTATTCATAATTGCTGTAATTTTTCACATTGCTATCCGGAATTCTGTTGCTGCTACTGGACAAACCTGAAGCAGAAAAACCATCAGAATTCACTTTACTAGCTGTTAGACCCACTTTACTTTGGAGTTCATTACTGGAATACATTACCACTTCACCATTGCAGAGTAACTTAAGAGTTCACTCTTTAAGTCAGCAGAAGGTTCAACTTTAATAATATAATAACTAGATACTAGATACTAGTAGATACTAGATTTTTAAAAAATCCAAAGAGTTTTATTGATATGCTTAACAAGAAAACTCCTGCATGTTAAGGTAAAAGGATTAAAAATAATTGATTTAGAGGAAACAGTGGCACCATGATATCATTATGTTTTTTAAACAGAAAATGCAAGATTTCTGTTTCCTTTGTAGCAATATGCATCTGAAGCGCCTATCAAGTAGAAAGCAAGACCAGCTCTTTTTTCTGTTATATGACAATAGAAACAAATTCATTAGTGTTGTAAAAGCAACACATGGGATTTTAGAAAATATTATAAATAATATGAAGCCTCTACACTAACAGTTTACAAAAAGTCTATGCAACATACGTTTTTAATGATGTAAATATATATGTGTGTGTATACATACACACACACAAGATCGTTTTCAAAGTCTGTTTTAAATTCCCAGAGGTTTTTTATAGACAATATGTTTGCAAACAATTTTCATGTTATGACCATCAGAAATATAAATTTGTATTATGGATGCAATTTATGTTCTGGCTTGTTTAGTAATGTGTTGTTTTGTTTCCCATTATTTATAAAACTGAAGGAGTTTAAGAAAACATTCAAAATGCTCAGCATGCACACATAAATGAAATATTTTAATGTCAGATCATATTCATAAAAGTTACATTGTTTACATAGGGTTCATTTGTGATTACGAAAAAATGTTTTAAATGAAAAGAATTATTTTTCTTATGCTGGCTATCCTATTAAACAAATTAACGTGCTTTGGATGTACAGCTTGACAGGAATATAGTTCTTTTAATATTTCACAGGAAATTATGCCTTTTAACAATTACAAGGCTTTCATTCATAAAGAAATAATAACATCTCAACTGTGATAGCTGAAATTCACCAATGATTTGGTGCACAGGTTAATGTTGCTGAGAGTAATTTTTAAAAAAGTCTTAAGTGATTTTCTTCATTGCATAGTGAATATGTAAACTTATTAAGAATTAACATGATTCATAGTATTACATATTGATTTGCTTAAGATTTATTCAAATAATGGATCAAATATTTTAACAGGAGTGCAGGAAGCTAGTAGCCATTTTCAGGAATGTCTGGTTTTAATATCAAAATACAACTTAATCAAATTTAAACATTCTAAAGTTTACTTGATATCAGGAACAGACATGCCAATTGAAAATTTGCTGCATAGTGTTCTTGTGACTGAGATGAATTATATTAATTGTGTAGGGGAAACAATGAAAATGTAATTAGAAGAATATCAAGGAAGTAATTTTATATTGCTCAACAGCCTCTTTTGTTTCATATGCTCCAAAAACGTTTGTGAAAGTGCAGAATGTATCTACTGCATGGGTTTCGTAAAAAAAGATTTTGTAAAAATAATAATAATTTCAACAGTTGTATCTGGGTTTACTAGGTTTGCATCAAGTAAAATATTTATTAATGAAACTACTGTACAGGAAACATCAAAGCGAAATGCATCATACAGAAAAAGTACACTCTAGGTGACAGATGGAAAAGTGCATGCAGGTTGCTTTAAATTTTAAGTCAGAAACAAATAATACTAATGTTGATCCCTAATACCTTAAATGAGTGAGAAACTTCTCTAAATTTACCAAAAATGCCATCAAACATATATGACTAATACACATTGGCAAGCAGTATGAATGAATTCAGGTTTTAGATCTTATTTTACAGGTATTTTGCTTGACAAATGTGAGTTTAAATAGATTCATAAAAAAGGAAAAATCTTCTCAAATTGGACTGGGAAGTTCTGCCAGGTTGCTCTGATGTCACACACAGCCTCCAAGTGTTTAAACAGACACCATCAAATCACATATGTCGTGTTAACATTCAGGAAATGACATTGAGTCTGTCTTTAAAGAATTATTTTTGGCTCAATAAATTTTAAATGTATGGTTTATCATAACCTAATATTGTCTTTGTCTTCACTGCAGTGGATTTCCGATCAAACTTTCCCCTTCTTTTAATACTTTAGGGAATTTTCAAACGTCGGGATGTTTGGCTGTAATGCCCCAAGATTTGTTCTCCCTGAAAGAAATCATAGTGACAATTTATTAAACTACAGAGCAACCTGGCTTTTAGGGGTCTGTACTTTTAGATTGTGTTCAATATACCTAACAACTAAATTGTGATGCATTTCACCATAATTATTTATTATATTTTTCATGCAATTACTACTTCCATTCCTATACTCTCTGGGCTTTAGGTTTTAGATTTATTTGATTGGGGTTGGAATTGATTTTATTTTTTAATGATTTTAAAAGAAATATGCCAGCCTGTTCTTAAAACACAAACAGGTGCAACCCAGTAACTGTTGTTTGTGATTAAGTCTCATTAAATGCAATGAAATGCATTAAATCAATATTAAGTCCCATTCTATTTAATGAGACTTAATTTGGTTTAAAATTTTAAATTGTGCTCTCTATGACTTGAAGGGAATTCCCATTCTAAGCCACCTCAAGATAGTTGAATTTGCGCTCAATAGGACTCAAATTAATTACAATTACCTTGTCCAACTTTTCATTGGCCTTAAGTATAACTAGAGCTCATTGGATCAGAGCTATATTGTTAAACACTGCAACCTAAGATTGGGTTGTAATATCAATCAGTGGAGCATTATTTTCTATTTTTAAAAATAGAAATCTTAAATTACATCAGGTATATTATTATTAAACAAAAACTAGAAGTATTCCTATTTTGTAATTACTGTAAGATTCCCATTAATGTGTTAAGTACTTCACACAAATTCACACATACTGTAAAGCAACACAACACACTGTCAGTCAGGAAAGACTCCAATTTTTTTAAAAAAAAAAGAAAACTGAAGGTAAATAAAACTCCTTTGATTCAAAATGGTTTATTCACACAAATTTAATAGGATATATCACAATTGTTTGGTCCATAAATATTTAGGGGAAATAGTTTCTATACAATGCATTTTTCAATAAAACAAAGAAAACATGGACAACTTTGCTAGACCACTTAACTGTACTATAAACACGAAGCTCAATATATAAGATTATTGAATTTATCAACTATATCCGAAAGAGTGCACAACTGCTTTCTATGACATGTTTGTCCCCTCTACCAGGTTACACCATAAAAAGAGTTTCAGAAATAAGAGGTAAAACAGTACAAAACTAGTGAGGTGTCAAAAGGGTTTAAAACAGTTAATTTAACAAACAACACATATATATCCTGATTTTTTTTTCCACAAGCTTACTCCCAAGTTATAGCATAAGGCACATTGTAGAACTGAGTTATAAGAAGTCTACTTAATAAAGTAGATCTATAGTACCATATAGTTGTCCTGTCAAAGAACAAAATTTATATGTATCAATTTTTGTACCTGTAAAAGTGTATTAATAAAGATCTCAGCCTTTCCAAGGTTGTTTGGTCTGGTTAGTGGTAAATGCCCATAAAGTAATAGAAACAGGAAAAGTCCAAGATTGGCACCTCAATCCTAACTATATCAACTTGGAAGTAAATTCCACTCATGTCAATTGAACTTCCTTCCTTCTAAATGTGCTTTAGGTCAGGAGCCTTAAGCCTTCTAGAAGATCATGACCACACTGGCTAAATATATAACAACAAAGACACATTTTCTCCATTACAGTGTTAACATCTCTTCCATTGTTTTTTCTTTAAAAAATAAGCTACTTTTCTGTGCTAATTTTCTAAAAACCCTGAGCAAAAGTTAGAATAATGCACTTTAATATGGGCAGTGAACTGTCACTATGTATCCACTCATTATTGGAGATCAACCCCCCCCCACTTTCAAATAATCAATTAAAAAAAGGATTTTAAATAAAATGAGAAGGGTATGATGGAAAGGAAAGGGGAAGAGAACAAAGAAAAGATGGATAAAATATAAAATATTGTGCAAAAGTTATTCTTAACAATCTATCCAAAACATGATTTTGATAGTTTTTGGAAAGACTCCTCCCGTTTAATGTTTTATCAGAAGAAAGGATACAAATGAACATTCACCACTGCCCAGACCATTCAGACTTTAGCTTAAATTAAAAAAAAAAATGAACCACTTGCAAATGTAAACTAGGAAAGGTGTTTCCAATCAGCAATACATCCACAAGGCTTCTGAGTTTGGCAGCTTCCGAGAATTTCAGTTTTCAAAAGATTTTGTTTTAATGTAAAGTGTTTTCTCATATTAGAAGAGACCTTTTGCTTGCCTTTTTAATGAAAAAATGGGGACAGGGGGAGTGATCATCATCCAACACGGAATTAAACTCGTATACAGGGCAATCCAAATAATGTCTAATCAAAAATTAATTCCATTGGTTCCAATGGGACTGATTTTCAATCACATTAAGGCTACATTTTTAAATCCCATTGAATTATGCTAGAATCACCAAATGTGGCTGTAAGTCTGCTAGAGCAGTAGGTCTACCTAGTACTCTAGCGCAGTACTATACATATATATATATGTATATATATCTGTATAGTACATATATATATATATATATATATATATACATATATATATTTACTTGGAAATAAGCTCCCAGTGAGTTAAAACAGGCAGACTTACAATATGACAGTAGCACAGTATTACTGTATTCACATATTTGCTGAACTTGTCTTTTGAAGTTAATACATTAAAATGGCCAGCATTTACCTATGTTAGAAAAAATGCAAGTATGTTCAAAACATCCAAGAATAAATATCTTTAAGTAATTGTTCAAACATTTTAAGAAATTATATTTTGCCTATTTCCATCTTCTTCTGAAAATGATTGAAAATCTGAACAGTTACTTTAATAATGGAAATTCATGTTTTTAAAGATGAAGGTTAGTAATTTTGTAAAGATTATGATTCTTTTTCTATACTTATAGTACTCCACCTTGTCCTATTGAAATGTAAAAGTGTTTAATATTCACATGCTGGATTTTACACTTATTAAGGAAAAAACACTATCCAAGACAGATACTATAACGGCTGTAATCCCCAAGCCATTAGGCTCAGAATAAACCCTCTTGTTTAGATATAATTAATATACAGCATAAAAAGCATTACCATTTTAATAGGGAAAAATCTTTAGCCTCAAACTACTGATAATATCTAGCAAAATTTATGTACTTTGAAATCCTTTTTATTTCCATGGGACAACATTGAGTAGACATTTAGTTCTTCCCTTTAAATCAACAGGATTGTTATTTAATTTAATCTTTGGGTATGTTAGTGTTTTGCTATCAGTCCCACTGCAAACCTGATGAAGCTTGAAACTATATTTGTTTGTACAATTGAATAGGGATTAGCCCCAGGCAAATGTTTCTAAGATCAATGTATTTTAGAAAAAAGTTTGTGTTAGATAACACAACCAACATTCATATTGTCTGAGGCTGTTCTATTTTCCAGCAGTATTTACTAGCCTGCAGGACAGAAAGTTAACAATTGACATTCATAAATGGCCTAAGTTAGCCGAAAAGTTAATGTAGTCTAAATGTTATTCATTATATGTACGTAGACATAGCTGCGGTATTACAAATCCTGAAAAATAATATAGCTGAAACATGGAATAAGTGGTAGGGTTCATATATTACATTAAGCCATATTGTTTAATTTGGTCTTAATGTGATATGTGATACGATAGTTTGTAAATTAAGAATTTGTGACTTAACTAACTTAAATCCAGTAAGTTAAGGTTTATTCACTAAACAATGGTTTAGCATGATACATGAAATCTGTTAATTCCTTGCTCATTCAAGGTCTTATATATAATACATTTTCAGAAATAAATTTCCTTTTGTTTTAAAGGTTGATGGGCAGAAAATGGGCAGAAAAATACAGAAAATAGATTTTCACATTTAGACTATCAGTTTTTATATATCTGAAGAGGCTTCTAAACATTATAGCATAAAGCATCATACAGAAGCCAATTAATAAATGAAGAATTCACATGTTTTGGGGGGGGGGCTGGAGCCCATTATTTCCAGGGCACACTACTCCCTCTCTTATTAAGCCTAATAAAAACTGTGCAAACCTCAGTCCCAAGCAAAACTTTTACAACTTTTTTGTATGCATAGAAAATGAAAGAAAGTACAAAATGTAAGTATCTGAATGACAAATTGAGGATTAAAAATTTGAAATGCAAATAATTCCTGGGCAGCCTTTCAGTATGAGATACTGGCATTGATTAAAAATGGTCAGAGCATGTTGGCATCTAAAAATTAACTGAGGAAACAGGCACAGACATCTGGGCAAGCAAACCACAAGTATCTCTGACATAATTATGTTAATACTCAACCCATATGTGATTTAATTAGGTGACCTGTATATGAGCGAGACTCCTCTGCAGGACACGTCATGTGCCATGTCTCAGGATGAATACAAACAACTGTCTTAACACACATCTGTAACTGATGTGCAATAACATTATAAGAACTGACCTCAGAGCATGATAGTTTGATTCTTTAGGCTTTTCCTACTCAGTTGGTTCCTTCTATACATCCCAATGTGTATATTATTTGAATTTTGTGCTTTACAGCTTTTTTCTTCAGGCTATGCTGGTTCCTTGTAAGTGGCAGGTCAGTCATATAATTTGATGCCAAAAGCAACCATCGCCAGTTTGGCATGCCAAACCAAGTCACATCATAACACGGTAGAATGCAAATTGAGTAGGTTTTGTACATGGCAAACATATCATAAAGACAGCTTCCAAATTGCAGGGAACCATCATAGAATAAAGAAAGCAAGTCACACAGATCACCTGACTTAGACCAAAAGAGCTTGGTCAGCCTTGCTCAGTGGGATTTCCTTTCAATTGTTTATGTTTTTTATGATTCAGATGCCAATCATTTGAAGAAAACAAACACTGATCTATTTAGTTGGAAATACAGCTTTATGATTAATATATCAACCATTTTGCCCCCAGCAAATTCTGGAAATAAGGAACATACAATTTTAAGAGGCACTTAAACCTTCCCTTTAATTAGGCAATGATTAAAAGAAAATTCAACAACAATTTATAGACAAGTTCATGTTGCATTATAATAGAATTCTATTACTGCAAACTCATTTGCCAAGTGGTTGTGGGTGCTACACACCAAGATGGTTTTCCCAAATATATTGTGGTGTTGTTTATTTTTTTAAAAAAATGTTGCAAATAATATTAATAGTAATTATAATCATATAATGGAGAAAGAAGAAGAGGAAGCAGAAGTAACGAATAAGAATTTTGAAATCAAATGTTAGAAAATGTTTGTTAAGGTAGTTTGTGAGGGGCTCGCGGAATCGTGGCTGTCCATGTTAGAGGTCACTGATGATACTACAGTGATAGTGGGATTGGTCAGGTCTGTTAAAGTGGTCGCAGTGCCGGGTGGAGTGAGAGCGCCGCTGTCTGCTGAGGGCGGTGCAGGAAGTGACGTGCCATCAGCTTTATCAACACCCCCATTCTCCTGTCGCAAAAGATTCCTTCTGAATTTGGCTCTTGCGTTTTGGAACCAAACCTGCAAACCAATCCCAATTGATTTCTTTACCAACGTTAGCTTTTGTTTTTGACTATCTTTGCTTCCTATTTCTGTTTGCATTTTAAAGGATGGTGGGTTTCTTGTTTTACCTTTCTCCTCCTTCCCCCACTGCACTGATCACACTTACTGCTATATTATCTGGGGACTCTTTCAATGATAATTCACTAAGACTATCAAATAATCCTTTTAATGGGCACTTATGGTTGTTTTTGTTTTTCACTTGTGCCATAACATCTTAGTAAAATAAATATTCTTCTAAAAACTCTTATAATCATTTAAAAACACGGAGACTATTAAAGGCAGAATGAAAGAATTTGTGCACCACTTTTCTTATGTGGTTTCTGTGTGTCCTATTTCAAAGCTGAGCTAGTTATGTTGCGATCACTGGTCTCTTGCAGTTAAACTCCTTCCACTGATTTTTGTTGGCTTCTATGGAGTTGGCCCACAAGTAATGATCTAAATCATTTATTTATAGGTATGATACATTATGGCCAGAACCCCGTATCTGTTAAAAATATTATAACTTCTTCCAAAATTATTGGTTTTTTTCAACTATGTTATGAAAGAGTCAGATTTGAGAGCATCACATCTTATAGAGCAACCCAAAGATAACAGATTAAAGCACTTTACATATAACACAAATCCCATGTGATGTATTAATTGCTGTACTGCACTGCTTCAGAATTCAGTGGTGAGAATTAAATCTATGAATGTTCTCTATGCAGTCCTCCAGAAAATCTTCAATGTATAGTGTTAAATCAACTTGCTAGTGACACTATGAGGCCAAATTGTTTTCCTTCACATCATCTTAGTATTCTAATATAATGCAGTATAGCAACAAATACTCCCATAGGATTGTTGACTGTATATAATAAAACTCAGTTCATGTTGACACACAGGCCTCTTGAGGTTACTTCTGGCTAATAAAAATGGAGAAATGCAGTAAAATAGATTATTTGCCTTAAATTCTATATCCAATTACTGTTTTAATTGCAAAGGATACCAGTATATTTTACATATTTCCCATCCCAATCAGAGCAAACAAAATTGATTCTCCTTCATTCCTGAGAGCAGTAGCTCTGGAGAGAAGCATAATTGTCCACTTAAATATACCTTCAGTACCTTTGGAAGATAAGATTTGAATATGTAAATGAATACCTATTTATCTATTGGAGGATTCGGCTAATTTAAGATGGCAGAAGGGAAATCTAAGGGATATGCAATTTTTAAATGGAGAGAAAGGAATGGAAGGGAGACACTTATAGCAAAGGCTTCTTACCTGCAGAACTCTCTTAGTTAGTCCAGTTTTCTGGGCAAGCTGCTTGAGGTCCTTAGCATCTGGATTGTGATTAATGGCAAAGTAGGATTTCATGGTACGGAGCTGGTGATGTTTAAAAGAAGTGCGCATGCGCTTAGTCTTCTGAGATGGGGGATAAGGCTGCTGGTCTCTGTCCAGATGGTCTGCCTCATTTTCGTTACAACCTGTTTGGGAAAACAACAAACAACAACAAAAGAATTGGAAAGCTGAAAATAAGCAATGTGCATCTATGTCTGTATACATGGACAAAAAGAACTCCCAATATAATATTAACGTATTTCCTTCCATTGCAGGATTACATTCATATCACTTAATGTATTATATGCATAATATGAAAAAAATGATGTGTTACAATCCTGGACATCATTCCAGACAACAAGTTGTTTTCATGTCCTTCCATTTTTAAAGCAATCCCTGCTGCCTATTTATTTCTAAAAATGTGAAAGTAGAACATAATCTATAAGATATCCTAGTACAAAATAGTAAAGTATAATTAAAGAATAAAAATGAACATAATATGGTAAGAGAAAAGTATAGGATTTTTAAAATAACAGCAGCCCTGAGTCACCTGCTGTGACCCAAATGCAAGAATAAAAAGCAGATCTTTACATGTGTCACCAAAACAGTCTGAAGAAGGGGTACAACATGGAGAAGAACCACACTTTATTTTAGTGCATGCTTTACCAGAAAGAGGGACCCCAAACATGGGAAACCAAAGATTTTATAGAAATTGAGAATTACAAGGTGGAAAATCCTAAGGATCTGATTTACTGGCCAGTCCTGATCAGTGTATCTGGAATGAGATCTCGTGGTAGGCAACAGAGTTTGGAAAGACCTTTGTGAAGGAGATAGAATGTTGAGATCATCAAATGATGGAGAATGGAATGTTGGGGGTTCTTTAGGTTGCAGTTTCCTCCTATGGGTTTTCCCTTTGTATTATGAAGGAAAGGGTGCAATCTTCATTTTGTTTGTTAGATTTATTTTCTCCGTGAGAAATGTCACTGTAAAGCAAACAAAGTTGATTTCTTCCTAGAGTCTCAGAAAAAGTGTTTTCAGAGCTGAGGTGCCATGATAGAGAAGGCCCTCCCCCAAGTCCCCATGTAAAGCTCTTACAACAAAATATGGTTAGGCAAGTACACACTAGGAGAGGCACTCCAGTGCTCAAGTATCAGGGCTCCATATCTTGAATGTCATTATTAAACTTCCATTTGGAAGCCCAGGCAGCTAGCAGAGTTTCCTTAGCAGTCTTGCCACTCTACTCAGTATTAGCTGAAACTTTCAAATAGTTCAAGGACAAATCTACTCTACAGTCACCTAACCAGAAAATTACCAGAAAATGAATTACAGGCAGTCCTTATTCAGTAACTAACTACTCATTCAGCAGCCATTCAATGTTACGACAATTAATTTTGACTGTTCCTTGTAGTTGTGGCTGTTGCAGTGTTCCCAGTCACATGATCGTGATTTGGGTGCCTGACAATCAATTTGCAATTACAATGGTCACCACATCCTTTCCTTATGTGATCGCTATTTGTAGCCTTCTCTACCAGTTCCAACAAACAAAGTCAATGGGGAAAACAGCAAGTCACCAATAGTAACCATATGGCCACAGGACACTGCAATCACATGGATTTGCCCAACAACAGAACTGTCATAAGTTGGCACAGCCACATGACTCTGCACTTTACAACTGCATCATTTAACACCACAATTGCTAATTCTAATGACTGTCCTTAAGCAAGGATTACCAATAGAGGTACAAGGCCATCCCTGTTAAAGAAAAGTGTCAGCTAATGGGTCAGCTACAACTGGCCAAATATTTTATAGTCCATTAAGGCCACTTGGATCTTTGAGTAATGGAAACAAATCTAGGAGAATATAAAAACTATTTACACTTCTGCTCCTCCAGGAAGAACAGAAGTCCATCAGAAATGACTTACCCAATTCCAGACACATGAGCCATCAATCCACAGCATCTCTTTCTGAATTCAATTAATACAATTAATACATCTAGCACCCACCAGATCTTTTGAACTAAAATTTCATTGACCTCTTACTATTGGCTATCAGAAATATATATATATACTTTGCCCTGTTGCATTTATTTAGCATAGAATATTTTTTGACATGCAGCAGCATTAAAGTTGGTATGGATAAATATTCTTTACCAACACAATGCTGAATTAGAAGTGATATAGTCTGGAAATCTACTGCTTCATTCAGCATTAGCTCTAAAATGATAAACCAAATAATGGGATGAGTGATGATTCAGTAAAAATGAAAAAGCAGCCACATGGTTGTTTCCTTATAACATACATTAATGCACCATCTGCTAAGGGTGCCTGCCAACTTTTACTCCTTTTACTTTATTTTGAAGGCACATTTCTTCAGGAGATAAGAAAGGCTTTCAAATGTTATTTATTGTAGTTCTGAAACTTTACTCAGCCAACTATGAGCAGATTATTAAAGCTTATAAGCTGTTTCCTTTACTCAAATTAATATGAGTGTGCTGTGCAGCAGAGAAAAGCTTGCAAGAAAAGGAATCAACTTGTATTTTTTTCTTCATCACTTTTCTTCTGTAATTGCCATCAATCTAATTTCTCCATAGAAAGGATACTAGACCCACAATTGTACATTACTGGATAATGCTATTACTTTCTTTTCCCCTACAAACATGAAGAAAAATGAGAATTAGAGCAGCCCATACCCATCCTGAATAAAGCAACAAAGCATGTTCTTATTAGATATTTAGACTACATCTTTAATCAGTTTGGACCAAAGGCATAATGGTACAATATCTTAATTTGCTTCCAAAAAGCAAGGAGAAAGATCTACCACTGAGAGTTCCATTAAGGGGGAACTACATGTCTTTTGTTCTATGCCACATCTTCCACACAAGGAGGTGGGATGCTCAACAGAGCTCTTCTCAATAACTAGACTTGGCATGAAGATTTGACTTGGACAAGGAGCCTGATACATGTCAGCTTCTCTGAACAGGGTTCTAGAGATTATGACTAGCACTTTGAATTGTGTATGGAAACTACACATAGCCAGTACAGTGATTTCAAATGAGGTTTTAGTCTACACTGGCTGTCCTATCAGCTAGTTTTAGTCTACACTGGCTTAGAGACCACGTTCCTGTAATCCAGTCTCTAGGCCAGCGGCTCCTAACCTTTTCTATACCCCGCATCCCTAGAATGCTTCTGATATATTCTCGCACTCCTTACAAAAGTTCAAAATAACAGCAACGAATTATGCATATACACTACAATTTTGAAACTTCTAAAGTTTTTGCACCTCCTGGAATATCATCTCATGCCCCCAGTTGGGAACTCTAGGCAGACACAAATTAACATTCCCAGAACATCCTGAACCATAATTACTTGGACCATAAGCAACAGTTGTAGACCGTAACTGGCATATCAGATGAAGCTGGATAAAATTCCCTAGTCATGACTTCTATTTGTTGCTTGAGCAATAGGCACAAAAGTCCAGGAAGATCTTTGGATCACAGACCCCCCCTTCAGGAAAAGCATGACAGTCCCCAGGTGCTTATACTAAACAGCAGCTCCATGTTGGAGAGAGCACCAGGATTTTGTTTTCTTGTGCAGAAGGTATGCTTTTTTTGCCTTCTGACTCAGACCTGGGCTTTGGTGATAAAGTGATAAATTCTAACTGTTAGACCATTAAGAACAAGCAGATTAAGAGGTAATATATGATACATATGCAGTTCCTGCTGGACAAAAGGATGGAACAATGTATGAATCCAATAATCACATATTAGGAGCCACCTTTAGCAGGAAGCGATGGTTTCTTTTTGTTTCATGCTTCAGTAAGTATAGATGTTATATGACATGGCTCTGTATAAACTTGCTTTTATATAGATTTATGTTCTACTGTTGGCTGTAACATCGCCATGAATCCTCAACAGGATTAGATCATTGAGAAAAGTGTAAATTGTAGACCATTGACTCTTGGCTTTTGAGCTGTCACTGACACTGCAGCTGTAGTTGCGCAACTAAAAATGAGCCAGTTACCTAAAAAATAAGAAACTTTCTAAAATCCTGATTCTATTATGTGGAAAGAATCCCTGCAAAGATCAATAGGACTCAGAACCGTCAAAACGTTTCATACCAGAATACAAGTGAATTTGTTTTAATTATTAAGCATGAAATATTATATAACTTTTCAGGAATGATTTAATAAAGCTAATTTCATCATGCAGGAACAGAATAAACAATGTAAATTTAATTTAATTGTAATGATTGATTCTAGGAAGGAATTGAATTAGTCCATATTTAAAGTATGTTTGAATATGAATATGAATTTTCATTTAAAAAGACATCTTGGAATATTTCCCAACAGTTGGCTGGAACTCTTTCACAAAGTATAGCTATTCCCCATCCCAATATGATGGAAAACATAGATTATACTATATACATTACAGCAGTCCAAGGAGACAGATTGTGTGTGTGTGTGTGTGCGTGTGTGTGTGTGTGAGTGATATATATATATATATATATATATATATATATATATATATATATATATATAGTCAAAATAATGATCACCAAGAGAATATTTATCAAAAATAGAATTTAATCCACCAAGCTTTCGTCAAATACATTTGACATCGTCAGGGTTAAAAGGCAAACGCCTTTTTTTTGTTTTTATTTCTAATCATATATATATATATATATATATATATATATATATATATATATATATATATATATAGAGAGAGAGAGAGAGAGAGAGAGAGAGAGAGAGAGAGGGAGAGAGATAGTAAAAGACAGGGTGGGAGACAGAGAGAAGAGGGAACATTTTATAACTGCATTTGCCTTCTATTAAAAGAAAACAACAGAACTGAAATGCTGTCTTCTCAACTAAGTTGTGAAAGAATATCCAACAAATGCTGGTTTAATGATTTTCTAAACTTATTTCACCACTCCCACCTGATAAGCATTTTCAGTAAATTTAATAAGAATAATTTGGAAAAATACCAGAAAGCCAGAGATGACAGATGCTTTTTGTATAAGGTAGCTTTTTTTTCAGCAGCAGAAAGATATATTTAAAGACATATGAGAATGATTTTTGAAAGAAGATAATTCTATTAAGTGGGGGGGGGTTTAAGAACACTTTAGTATTTGACATCATTTCTCAT